TCCTAACAGAATAATTTGCGCAAAGAAAAGCCCTGGGCACAAAGATGTTCACTGACACATTACTTTCAGAGCATTTTTCCTATTATAATACCTAATACATGGTCAGTGTAAAAAGCTTGGGAGGACATAGGAAGGCACAAATTGGCACTTAAAAGATTGATCATAATCTTACCACAGAAAAATAGCATTTTCATTAAAATTTTCTACTTTTTCCTATGCATATATCCTTTTTTTTTTTTTTTTTTTTTTTTTTTTGCGGTACGCGGGCCTCTCACTGTTGTGGCCTCTCCCGTTGCAGAGCACAGGCTCTGGACGCGCAGGCTCAGCAGCCATGGCTCACGGGCCCAGCCGCTCCACGGCATGTGGGATCTTCCCGGACCGGGGCATGAACCCGTGTCCCCTGCATCGGCAGACGGACTCTCAACCATTGCGCCACCAGGGAAGCCCCCCTTTTTTTTGTTTTTAGATTTAATTAATTAAGTTATTTTTGGCTGCGTTGGGTCTTCATTGCTGCGCGAGGGCTTTTCTCTAGTTGCGGCGAGCGGGGGCTACTCTTCGTTGCAGTGCATGGGCTTTTCATTGCGGTGGCTTGTTGCAGAGCACAGGCCCTAGGCGCATGGGCTTCAGTAGTTGTGGCACGCGAGCTCAGTTGTGGCTCACAGGCTCCAGAGCACAGGTTCAGTAGTTGTGGCGCACGGGCTTAGTTGCTCTGCAGCATGTGGGATCTTCCCGGACCAGGACTCGAACCCATGTCCCCTGCATTGGCGGGCAGATTCTTAACCACTGCGCCACCAGGGAAGCCCTATTCTTTAAAAAATAGTTGTAACATACCTTTTTCCCAGAGCCATGTATTTTGAATATTTTCTCTCTCTGTTTTATTCACCTGGGGAAACTCTAACCCTAGTTGAAACCAACTTGTCTTTCCTTTCTGGCGTACACCTGGACAATCAAACATTACTGGGGAAGAAAAAAGAAAATCACACAACTCAGCTGCCTGGTTTTACTTTAAATTTATGGTCATGGACCTCAAATTAGCCCTTAAAACTGTCGAGAAATGCTAAAACATCTCTGTAGGAAGTCCCCTTTTGGGACTTCCCTGGTGATCCCTCTGTTAAGACACTGTGCTTCCACTGCAGGGAAGCAGGTTCGATCCCTGTACATCAGGGAACTAAAAGGATATCCACTTTCCCAATCTTTGGGAAGACGTGTGATACTCTTTCTTCAAACCTTCCATATACAGCACCACCGTCCCTACTCTGAGCCAGTGACCTTGTTTCTAATGAGGAAGCCCCTCCCCTCTGCCACCACTCTTTCAGCCCACCATTGGTCCCCTGCCTCTCCCCACTGGGTGGACCTGGTGCCCTGCCTCCTATCCCAGGTCAGGGTCTCTTCCTGTGTCTCAGACCCCAGCCCCTTCCTCCTCCTCAGGGACCTCAGTCTTTGAATGATCTGTCCTCTCTCCTGCATCATCAATCTCCCCCTCTCTTTTGGTTTATCGCCAATACCATTTTTTTTAAATGCTGTAATTGGGAATCCCCCAGTGGTCCAGTGGTTAGGACTCTGTGCTCTCACTGCCAGGGCCCTGGGTTGTATCCAATTTCTCACATCTTAAAAAAAACAAAGGACTTCCCTGGTGGCACAGTGGTTAAGAATCTGCCAATGCAAGGGACACGGGTTTGAGCCCTGGTCTGGGAAGATCCTACATGCCTTGTAGCAACTAAGCCCGTGCACCACAACTACTGAGCCTGCGCTCTGGAGCCCACGAGCCACAACTACTGAGCTCGCGAGCCACAACTACTGAAACCTGCGTGCCTAGAGCCTGTGCTCTGCAACAAGAGAAGCCACCGCAATGAGAAGCCCACACACCGCAACGAAGAGTAGCCCCCGCTCGCCACAACTAGAGAAAGCCTGCGTGCAGCAACGAAGACCCAACACAGCCAAAAATAAATAAATAAAAAATAATTTTAAAAAAAGAATTAGTATTAAGTAAAAATAACTGAAGGAAAGCTTTCATTTCAAAAAAAAGAAAAAAAGAAAAAAAGAAAAACCCTTCCTTGATTTCACATTCTCTGTCTACCCTGCCTAGCTTTCATACTTTTCTCTGCTACCTTATAGGAAAACCTCTTGAAAAAGTTGTCTAGATAGTCTGTCTTCCTCATCACCCATTTTAGACTGGCTTCATCCTTATTGTTTCACAAGAATGCTTGTCAATAAAGACCATGTTTCCAAACCACCTTACTGGTCCTACAAGCATTTGGGGTTTTCTCCAAACTTACCTCTATGTGGTAATAATGCCCAGATTTTAAACTGTAGCTAAAAGTCAGTCTTTCAAGCTCCAGCTACCCTCCCTGTATCTCCCCTCGGATGTCTCTTAGCCATCTCAATCTTTAATCAAAAAAGGATGTTCTGTATTCTCCTACAGATCAGTTCTTTCCTCCCTCTAAATCTTTTGTGTCTCTACATCAATTTCTTTGTTTAAGCCAAAAAGCTAGGAGTTACCTGTTTCCTTTCTTTACTTTCCCCCCACACCCAATTCAGCAGCTAGCCCTGTTGGCTATACGTCCAAATAGATATCAAATTCACCCTCTTCTCGCCATGTCCACTGCCACCAGCCGTGGATGGACCCTTGAGAAGCGTCCTGACTGTACTCCTGCTTCAGTTCTTGCCCCCCTCCAATCTCATCTCTACTGCACATCAGATGACGTCCCTACCCTTGGTGGCTTTCTGGTGCCCTTCAGATAAAATCATACTCCCGTCAAGGTCCCCTGTGATCTGGCCTCCAGCCTCAGCTTCTACCACCTTCAGTTCCAAGAAGCTGTCAAGCTCTTTTTCCTTTTTCCACCTCGAGCCTTTGTGCCTCCCTTTTTTTTTTTTTTGCCCACCACATGTGGGATCTTAGTTCCCCAACCAGGGATCGAACCTGCGCCCCCTGCAGTGAAAGCCTGGAGTCCTAACCACTGGACTGCTAGGGAAGTCCCTTTTTTTTTTTTTTCCTGTTTTTTTGTTTTTTTTTTTGTTTTTTTTTCATCTTTTTTTTTCTGATCCCCTCTTAAAGGTAGCTCTCCACACTGGGTTTTTTCCTTTCTACCACGGCCCTTATTTATTTACCTTAGAGCATTTGTGAGAAGCCATGATTGCCCTTTTGTTTTGTTTTGTCTGCTTCTGTCACTAGAGTGTCTGCTGTTGTTCATCCCTGGTGCTGGGTCCAGCGACTGGCAAACAGTGGTATTGAGTGAATGAGTGGGTATTTTCCACATCATTATTTCTAATGGGTACGTAGTATCCGTTGCACAAATGTAACCTAATTGACTTAACCACTGCCTTATTATTTGATATATTTGTTCCCAGTTTTTCACCCCACTGAAACATGGGAAATAATCTAAATGGCTATTGGGAAAATTGTTGACTAAACCAGGGGCTATTATGCAGGCATTTAAGATCCTAGGAAGCATTTTTATTAACATGGAGAAATGAGTTTTCTTACTGAAAAAAAGCATAATACGAAATTATATACACCACATGATCTTAGCTATGTAGAAGTTCATGGGAAAAGCGAGTAGGAAATAAACTAAAATGTTAATTATGCATTTGGGGTTGGCAGGATTACAAGTGATTTTTCTTTTTGATTTTTTTCAAGTATACAAGTAATACATGGTATTTTCTTCTTTGTACTTTTCTGTGTTTTCCAAGTTTACTGCAATGAGTGTGTATTTTTTTATAATCAGGTAAGGAGCTCTTAAAAATTTTAGAACACTTTGATGACACATCAGATTATTGCAGATAGTCAGAAGTAGAGTCAGGAACCATCGTGCTCTGGAGGGTGACCTAAAATGCTGGAAGCACACTCGCTAATGACAGCTCTTAGCCTTGAGTCCTTCCAGGCCTGTGGCTGATCTGGGTTTAGAAAGAGTAGCAGAGCGCTGTTTCCTGTGAATCCTCCATGACCGGGTAGACTTGTGTGTGGTGTGACATTATAGAAACTGTGGCTTGCAAAAGTGTTGGTTTTGGGTGAGAGCATCCCACAGATGTGCTCAGGGTTGGAAAGATATCACAACTGCTCTTCACGTCTGTTTCTGGAGCTTGACGGGGGCTCATGTGCCCTGGGGTATTGTCATAGCATTTTATGCACTTAAGTCAGTGGTTCTCAAACCCCAGACCCTTTTGGGAATTCGAGGTCAAAACTATCTTCATAATAAGACTAAGATGTTATCTACCTTCTCACTCTTATTCTCTCACAAACGTACACTGGAGTTTTCCAGATGCTATATGATTCACAGCAGGTTATTTAAGAAGCAGAACCCAGCTGTCTTCTACGAAGCCAGACATTAAGGAGAGTTGCAAAGATGTAAAACAATGCCAGTAGTCTCACTAAAATTGTTTTATTATGGAAAATATAAATAGCATTTTGGGAATTCCCTGGTGGTCCAGTGGTTAGGACTCAGCACTTTGACTGCCATGGCCCAGGTTCAATACCTGGTCAGGGAGCTGAGATCCCAAAAGTTGCACAACGCAGCCAAAAAAACAAAAATATAAATAGCATTTTAATGAAGTGCAACTATGTTATCATAGAATGGGTTTATTATTATTGTAATTGAATTAACACATATTTTAAAAATTTCTCAGTTTAACTTCTAATACAGGAAATGTCAGTAGATATTTGCCCACATACACAAACACTCTTTTGGGGTCCCCAATATTTAAGAGTATAAAGGAGTCCTGAGACTACAAAGTTTGAGAACAACTGAATTAAGGAAGCAGGAAGAGAACTGTCTTTATGGTGGATTGATTATGGCTCAGTAGACAGATTGGTTGAATTGCATGACTCAGGAGAACAAAGCCTATGGAGGGAAAATGACCTCGTCTAATAGGCAGGGGTTGGAAGTCCTTGAAATTACATTAGATTTTTTCTTCCACCTCCCCCCTCCTTCCCTCTCTCTTTTCCTCCCTCTCCCCTTCCCTTCCTCCTTCTGTCTTTCCTTCCTTTTTCTCTCCTTTTTTAGAGATCATGCATGATGTGATAAAGAAGGTAAAGAAGAAGGGAGAGTGGAAGGTAAGTAGAAAAGCACAATTAATGACCTTAAAGGTGAGTTCATGGGGAAAAACAAGAATGGAGTAGAGTTGGGGAGAGGCATGTAGGCGGGGAATGAGGACCTTTGCTGTGTCCAGAGGATACCAAAAGCTTCTGGACTAGAGAAAGGTAATCTGCTGTGCCTCCCATTTTATACGATCCTGGTTAGGAAATCTCTTGGTCATAAAGCTTATCTTTAAGATCACCTGGTGAGGCATTCTAGAAGTGGAACTCTTTTATTCAAACAAGATCTTACCTGAGTAAAGTAGAAGGTAGAATTATTCTGCTTGCTATGGGAGACGAGAGGGGACCCTTCTTGCCCCTCTGGTGGCCCTAAAGCATGTCCATGGAGCCCACACAGCAGTCTGAAAAGCCCTCATCTGGCCTATCCCGTCTGCCTGTAGCTACATAAGACAAAACAACTAAGTTTGTTTATTCATTTAACATTGAGAGCAATGCTGGAAACTGTCATGTTCCTGAAACAAGTATTTAAGTCAATCTAATTGATTATGGCCTCGGTTCCGGCAGTGGGTGATGCAAGTCGGAAACGTGCTGTCCTCCATCCAGGAAGTCTTTGTTTGAAGGACCATCTGGTTGTCTGGGACCGGGCATCACAGTGACCAGGAGAGCGCACCGTCTTACTTGAACTTCCCCGTGTGTTGTTGAAGGGCTTATGCCAACCATTCTTGCTCCCGAGTTTTCCTGTAGTAAAGTTCACCGGGCCTGGGAACAGCAGAGCTGATTGGTACCAGGAGGCTTTTGAAGTGTCATCCTGACCTCATGAGATTACGTTTTAGCCGGAGCATCCATCCTCATACCCAGAGTGGGAGGCCAGCTGTGGGAACTCTTTATGCCTGCCTTTCTCTCCTACCCTTCCCATCAGTAATGGACTTGTGGACATGTGAATTTTAAACTAACCTTGAGGAAGCTGCCTCATAAAATGAAAACTGATTGGCCCTCGTGCTACAGCAAGATGCTTTCGGGCCCATATTTTTCCAGCACCTGTTGCCTGGGTTTCTATCTTTGAAGAAGGATAGGAGAAATAGCTTTGTTTTAGCTCCCTCTCTCCACTGTGGGCCGAATGGAGAAAGGAAAGGTTGGCTGAAGAATTTCAGGTATGAAGCTTTTAGACCAGGACGGCACGTTCTTATTCTTCCCACCTGAACTGAGACAGAGTTTGCTCCCAGGATGACACGTGTGCTGGTCCATCCCGATGATGTCTGCAACGAAGTCCTCTCCTTCCACCCCATAAATGTGGCACTAGTGTTCATTCTCCCATTAAGAAAAAGTTTACGCCCTGAAAAAATACACTCTAACATGGATTTCTCCGAGTGTGAATGCTGTAGATGAATTTTTTCTTTTTCTTTCTTTTTTTGCATTTTTATGAGTATTTTCTTTGTCATGGAAAAAACTTTAATTTTTTTAACTTTAAAATATTAAGTCACATCAGTGAGAGCAAACTCTGCTAGAAGCTTAGGTTTGGTGGGGAAATAAAAGCTAGCATGTCTCTCGGCAAACTTCTGGCCCCGTAGGGAGCATGGATAACTCAGAGTTTTGCGTTTCCAGGCTCCTTCTGAAGTCTGACTGGGTCAGCGGAGGAGATAATCATAGCAGGTGCCCGTCAGGCTGTAAACTGTTCCCTTTGTTTCCAGGTGCTGGTGGTGGATCAGCTGAGCATGAGGATGCTTTCCTCCTGCTGTAAGATGACAGACATCATGACCGAGGGGATAACAAGTGAGCGGCCTTCCCTCTGCCCTCCCATGACACTCAGCCTTCTCTTAGGGTGTTCTTTCTCCTCCCTATCTGTTATTATCTTGCTTGACGTTATTTTTTTTTATAATTTTTATTCATGAAACCACATTCTTTTTTTTTTTTTTTTTTGGAGGCGTCGGGTCTTTGTTGTGGCATGTGGGTTCTTGCTGTGGTGCGCAGGCTGAGTTGCCCCACGGCATGTGGGATCTTAGTTCCCTGACCAGGGATCGAACCCGTGTCCCCTGCATTGGAAGGTGGATTCTTAACCACCGGACCACCAGGGAAGGCCCTATCTTGCTTGACTTTAGATCTTCCAACAACCTGGGTGGTAGGACCATAAGTTCCTGAGAGAGACCCCAGGCTTTCTTGTTCTTCATTGAATCCCCCACACCCAATCCAGTGTTAGATGCCCATTAAGTATCTGTGAAAGGATGCCAAAGGAAGGCTCAATCAAAAAAAAAAAAAAAGGGCAGGCCACCCAATAGAAAAGAATGGACAAAGGAATTAAACAGGCACTTAACAAAGGAAGAAATCCAAATGGCCAATAAATACGTGAAAAATTGGCCCCCTTAGTAGTGGTCAGGGGAATGCAATTAAAACCAGAGTGAGATACTGCTGTGTACTCAGATTGGAGTATTTAAAATATGATAATGCCTAGGGAGGGTGGGAGGGAGGGAGACGCAAGAGGGAAGAGATATGGGACCGTATGTATATGTATAGCTGATTCACCTTGTTGTAAAGCAGAAACTAACACACCATTGTAAAGCAATTATACTCCAACAGAGATGTAAAAAATAATAATAATAAAATATGATAATGCCAAGTGACAGGATATAGAAAAATGGGAACTCCGATCTGACACATGTCAGTTGGTACAGCTACTTTGAAAAACACTCGGCAGAGTCTAGGAGAGTTGAGGCATGCAGATCCTACGAGCCAGCACATCTGCAGTTAGATGTGTGTCCTAGACAACCCAGGTGTGTGCGCCCGGGATGCTCACAGAGCATCACTCATAGTAGCCCCAAAGTGGGAGCACCCAAAATGTCCACCAGGAGTAGAATGGTAAAATAAGTTGTGGAATAGTCACACAGCAGAGTACTGCTGATACATAGCAAAGAAGAGGAACGAACTCTGACTACTGGCTCGTTCCAAAATGCAAACGAATCTGATAAACAATGTTGAGCAAAAGAAGCAAGGTACATCCTTAACAATGTGCTTTAATTTACGTAATGTTCAAAAAGAGGCAGAGCTAAGCTCTACTGCTTTGAAATGCAGGGACAAGTGAGTCTTAACCACAAAGAGAAGTGATCACCATTCATGTCACCATGGTGGTTCTCTTTGGGGGGAAGGGAGGAAATTGTGATGAGGGAGGGTGAAGGAGGGCACTTCTGCAGTGCTGATGGGTTCTGTGGCCTGACTGGGGTGGTGCTTGTGCAGCATTTGCTTTATAATTATTTGTATATTTATGTTTAATTCATTCTTTGGAATGTGCTTTAGAATTTCACGGTAATAGGTTTTTGAAATAAGTTAAATCACCTGCTCAAGGTCACTGGCCAGTGTCACACCTGAGACTAGGACACAGCCCTCCTGGCTGCTGTCCCCAGCTCTTTTTCACATTTGTGTGCAGCTCAAGTCTTGCTTAGGAGCCCCTTTCAGGGGAGATCATGTAGTTTAATCTGTGAAACAGCATTGATGGAAAAGCAGTCTATTTTGAGGTATTATTTCAAACAAGGAAGTTAACCTTTGTTTTTCCTCCTAAAAAACTTTGGGTGGAACATACCTGTTGCAGTGCAGCTCCCAGTTTTTTCCCCTGGAGAGAACTGTTATGTGGTATGTGGCCCACAGACTACTGCTGGTCTTTGTCAAAATTACTACCATACCACAATTACGGGAGGAAGAGCAAGGAGGGTTGAGGTTTTCATTAAGCTAGATGAATGTAATTTAAAGGTTGGTGATTTCATCATTTTTTAAAACACATTTCCGCCAAAAAAAATTTTTTTAAGGTAAAAAAGAAATAAAATAAAAGCATATTTCCAAATCTAGTTTATCTATCACCAAAAACATAGTCCTGTAAATAGGAGTACGTAATTTTTGGTGTGACTTTGCGTCATTCAGTGATCCAAGACCGGACTTGCCCCTGTTTCGCGCTTACAAAGTTATTTTCCTCACCGAATTTTTAAAACTTTTTTTTCCTCTATCAAGGCAAAAAATGCAAATATAGGAAAAAAGCCAAATGTAGCTAATGAGCTTCTAACAAAGAAGCAGCACCGTCCTGCCCTCCTTCTTCCTCCCCCATCCCCTGGGATCCATCACCCCAGAGGCAGCCACTCTGCTCTTTCTTCTGGTTATCTTTTTGATATTTCTAAATAAGTGCTTACAGGAGTATCGCTTGATTCATCATGTTAGACATTATCTGTTGACTTCCTGTGGTAGATGAGGGTTCAGCTCTCTCCTCCTGCCCACAGACTCTTCCCTATCCCAGAAGTTTTTTTTAAATGTCCTTACTTTGCAAAATTTAAAAGTCAGCAAGCCTGTGTTAGCCACCCCCAAATATTTGTGGGGGGGGAAGTATTATTGGCCTATGAAATTCAAAAATCTACAACCCCTGGTAAAGTAGATGGTTGAGAGATTTTGGTATTAGTTTGAACATTGTTTGGGGTGAAAAGTCTTTGTAAATGTTACAAGGGATACTTCTAAAGGGATGCTTTTATTTGCTTACATCACCTGCATAGGAAGAATGGCACTGTACGATTTCCTGCTCGCTCTGTACCAGAGGACAGTGTAGCATAGGTGATGCATCCTAAGCTTTATCAGGTGACTAGTGAGATGATGACTTAGGTCTTCTTTCCCCAGCAGATGAAGTAGCAGACATACTGTAAAAGAAACCAGCAAACCAAACACCCATGGTTTGCTTTAACAAAATTTGATGTTTAGTCTTTGAACTATTGAAAGGAACAGTATTATACAGAAGGTATGTTTGGAATGTCTTCATTTGATATACAAAGGAAAATGATAAAACGATCTAACTGTTGAAAAACAAGCCAACATGGAAATTCTAAAGGAATTGGGATTATCTAGGACAGATGAGAAAAAACTGAAGGAAGAGGCAAAAGACTAGATCAAGGAATTTACTTAAACTGAAATGGGAAATAGGAAGTATTTAGTGTGATAAGGTTTCAGGTTTTCTACCACCTGAGCCTCGTGAGACAGAGGAACGTGGTAACTCTGGGGAAGGGGCGTTGAGTCTTTCCTCCCCCCACTGTAGATTTTTATTGCACCAGTCTGAAGGTGGCCTCTCTCTATGGCTTCTAGTTTTATGATCACCAGTTCTGTTTTCTTATTTACCATGGGCCGCTGTTTTGTTGTCTAGTTGTGGAAGACATCAACAAGCGCCGAGAGCCGCTCCCCAGCCTGGAAGCTGTGTACCTCATCACTCCCTCTGAGAAGGTAAACCCTGCCCAGAAGAGCTTTGGCTGAGGTTACACGTGCTGGCTTGGTGTCTGGGTGGCACCATGTCTGATGGTTCTGGGTTAAGCACGCATTTAACACACTGCTCTGTTTAAGCATGCAATCCACCAACGGGGAAGGTGGGGTGCGGTGAGGAGTGAAGAGTACATTCCTTAAGCTTTCTGCCAAAAGCCAGGCTGGACCAATCTCGATTTCCCCTCGTGTTAGCTTTCTAGGTAGGAGATCACTTTATCTAGTGATCGGCCTCCAGAACTTGGGTATTTTATGCTTTCAGATTTTTTTTTTGGCCTCGCCACGCGGCTTGCAGGATCTTAGTTCCCCCGACCAGGGTTTGAACCTGGGTCCCCTGCAGTGGAAGCTCAGAGTCCTTACCACTGGACCACCAAGGAATTCCCAGATTTATTTCATCAATATCCAGTTAGGGTTCAAATTTACCTGTCTTATCATTTTGGGGGGTTGGTTCAAATCAGTATCCAAGCAAGGCCCACCTTCTTGCTTCTGTCTTAGATGTCTTAATCTATGTAAATTCCCCCCAGTTTTCATGTTTTCTTTTCATTTTTGAAAACTGGCTTATGTATGAGTTTCTGCAGATGCAACTAAGTTGCTAGAACTTCATCGCAATGAATCTCCTGGTAGGTTTCTGACCTCTTTTGTGGGTCTCTTCTTAGGAACCCAAGTTATGGAGGGTCCAAAGAATGGACGCTGTCATTTTGGAATGAGCTAGGGAGGCTTTTGTTCATCTAAACTCTGAAACAATCCTAATCTTAAATCCTCAGAGCTCAGTTATGGCCGAACATAAGTTAGAATTATACATCAGAAATCCCTTGCTATTTTGTGCATGTAGCTTGAAGCCAGCATGGATTTGACTCCGTTCAGATGTAGGTTCCATTTGCTTCTAGAATTAGATTCAGTTCCCTTTTGTTCCCTTTCCACAGTCTGTCCACTCTCTCATCAGTGACTTTAAGGACCCACCAACTGCCAAGTACCGGGCTGCGCACGTCTTCTTCACTGACTGTGAGTACAGCTGTCAGCTGCCGCCCTGGCCTTCCTGCACAGCCAGACTTACCCCAACCAAGCCAGGCCAACAGGGAAGAAATGGGTGGTTCCCACTTTTGTCCTGATCTTTTTTTTCTCTTCAGAAGACAAATTGCATAAGAGATAAAAATAAATGCCCACAAATACAAACCTACTATGTCATGCAGTCCCTTCCTGATTAAAAAAATAGCTCCTCTTCTAAGGTCTAGCATGTTCAATGCTGAGAAGAATTTTCCGATGCCAGCCTTGGTGTTTCATTGTATAGACTTCCAGATATCACTATAAACGTCAGTGTGTTTCCATCTACCTTTCAACTACAAAGACACTCTGATCTGGTGGTATTTGTATCAGGTAGAAGTGTATCATTGTCCTAGAATCTGTTTTCTTGCTTTGTGGAGGTTTTGTGCATGGAACCTAGTGTAGAGTGCACAATAATAGCAGTTCACCCTGTGTTCTCTCTGGGGAAAACCCCACAAAACTCACCACTGAGCAGTTGGGGGAAGGTTCTTGCAAAGAATAATTTTATACTCTTTGAAGACGGGTGGCAAAGAAAGCAGGTAGATGGCATTAGTAATAATAAACCAATGACACATTTCTGGGGACCTGAAACTGTTTGGTCCGGAAGAGTCATGAGAAATCGTGGTCCCCCCCCCCCCCCCACCAAGTGGGACTCCTGTGCAGCCGAGTTCCTTAGAGGCCCTGGGGAAATGTCTGCATCGCATTTCCCAACGATTTTATTTTTCTTTACTTATTTTATTTTTCATAAGTATCTCAGATGTGTGGTGTTTATTTATCTTATAGGCCTTTTCCTGATCCCTTTTTGATCTCTCTTGGTTCTTTTTCTTCTTCTTCTTAATGTCAGAAAATAGTTTTTATTAGCTCTCAATATCTCAGTCTTTATTGCCATTTGTTTCTTTGTTATACGTTGAGGGCCTTGTAGGTGGTTTTGTATTCCTTTTATACCCTAGAGGTAGTAGGTTGTCTGGTAGGATGAACCTTCTGTTTACCTTTTTTAAATCCTACTAAAATAAAGAATTCCCTGGACACGTGCGAATGTTGAAATGAACCAGCAAATGGGCAGGAAAACAACCTACTGTCCTTGTCATTCTGGCAGCGTGTCCAGACGCCCTGTTTAACGAACTGGTAAAATCCCGAGCAGCCAAAGTCATCAGAACTCTGACGGAAATCAACATTGCATTTCTCCCATATGAATCCCAGGTGAGGCTGCGTGGGGGAGGGCCTAGAAAACCCACATCCTGGCTCTTCTCGCAGGAACTCTGGCCACGTGCGAGAGGGTGGGGCAGGGGTGCAATAGAGAGAGTGGGGGAGGGGATTGCCGAATGGCGCGTCGTGAGCGGACGTTTATGTAATGGCAACAGTAGTCCTTAGGGGTCTGCCCAAGATGCCCTCGTGTTAGTCTCCAGTTATTTCTGACTTTCTGCAGCCATCCTGCCCTTCTTAGTGTTCATTTCATCCTCACTCACATTGTTCACTCCTATTGGCTGACTCCTTGACTAAGCAAAAAGTAGCCAATCCAGAAAGAGCTTGGGAGGAGGGGTGGGGCAGGGGTCAGACAACACCCGTTTGCTGCAAAGGAGACTGTTTTTAATGGAGAGATAACCTCAGCTTGTCCTGTGCGGAAGGAACAGATGGTAGCCTTCGTCATGAGCTGTTAACGCTTCAAGTGCCAAAACCTCTCCTCTTGGAAAAAAACAAAGTCGTTAAACCAGTAAAGGTGAAGCTGATCATGAGAGAACATACAAAATTTATACCTTAGTATTTTAAAATTTGTTAAAATGCCTCCTCCTTGCAAAGAAACAAAAAATAACACAACTTCTGTGCATTTTGTAGAGGTGAGAGATGATTGTGGCATTTTGGGTCTTTATAGATCAGCTTCTAGATGCCAGAGAGTGACCGATTCTTGGGTAAGAAGAGATGGAAAAAATAGAGTGTGAATATTTTAAAAAGACAGTCTCTTTGCCCTCTCACTTGGCCTAAAGCTTAATCTCAGCTTGAGGGCAGGAATTCTTTTCCTGTATGTGAGCCCTGTCACCACCTGGATTGAACAAAATCCAACTTTACCATATTCAACCATACTATATTTCTCATATATTTTTGAAACGTAATAACCTTTTTTTAAAACCTCAGGTTTTCCAGATCAGGGTAGTTTACCTCATAGAGATTCTGAGTGAATACTGATAGCTGGTAGCCTCATAGTTTAAGAGGGAAGTTTAGTCTTCTAGGACCCTCCAAAAAAAAAAAAGAAGAAAAAAAAATGCTTAGAACATACTATGAGGATAGCAAATTATTAAATCCATACAGAGCTCCTTTATTTGCTACAGTCACAGCACAATTTCTAGCCTGTCCCTTATTTATTCAAACTTATAATGAATGGCCCGTGTGGTGTGCCAGGACCTCCTCCCCTGCTCTCCTCCTGGGCTCCTCACTGGTCATCAGACACAGGCACACGCCTGCCTCAGGGCCTTGGCACCAGCCGGGCCCTCAGGGAGCCGCCTGCTGGGGAGAAACCCTGCACCTCCTTCAAGCCCTGGCTCAAGCAGCCCCTCCTCAAGGAGGCCTCGTGTCCTCCCTGTCCATCCTGTGGGCTTCTCTCCCTGCTTCTTATGTTCTCATACATGTACCCATTTCTCAAATACCATAAAATTTACTTTTCATTATGTTTGTTGTCTGCCTCTTCCTGCAAGATTGCACGCTCCTTGAGGGCAGTAATGGTTTGGTCACTAACAGTCCCAAGTGAGACACCCAAGCCGTGTTTGTAGAAGAAATGAAAACCTGAGACACCCAGCCTCACTACCAGCTTGGAAAAAACTCTGACGGTTCACCATTCTGGATGAATATGACAGTCCACTGTTCTGGAAATATATGTATTTCTTCCCCGTCTCAGGTGTATTCCTTGGACTCTGCTGACTCTTTCCAAAGCTTCTACAGTCCCCACAAGGCTCAGATGAAGAATCCGATCCTGGAGCGCCTGGCGGAGCAGATCGCAACTCTGTGCGCCACCCTGAAGGAGTACCCGGCCGTGCGGTATCGGGGGTAAGGCTGCGCCCCAGTCTGCCCTCGGTGGCCCCCCCACGTGTCCCCGAGCAGGGAGCTTCCTCTGGCCTTGCCATTCGTCTGGCAGTTGTCTCCAGAGGGTCAAGATTTGAGCGTCTCCATTTATAATTATTTTCCAGTGTTTCTGCTCTTTTCTAAATTTTATTGTGGAATATACCAATACATACAGAAAAGGGCATGAAATACATATATTCAGTTAGTGAATAACTAAATGTGAACCCCCTGTAACTACAATCCAGGTTTCCTACAATTTTTCATCTCTTCCTAACCTTAAAAATCAAATACCCACCTTGCCAAAGATGTTTCAGAGTAAGATAAAATACAAGGAGAATAATTCTCCAAAGGACACATTTCTCAGATTTGATAAGGTCATTCACTTATCACTTACCTGCTGTGTGCTGAGTGCCTTTGGAGAGTGCCTTTGGTCTCACAGGCGGACTTAACCTGAAGACACAGCCCCTGCGCTTAGAAACCCCTGATCTGGGAGGGCAGGTAGGATGAGCACACCTACCATGTAGGCCTGTGAGACCAGTGCCTTAGGACAGTGCAGGCCGTAGGCTTGGGCATCCAGAGCAGGGAGAGGGCCCTTTGAGCTGAGAGGAGCGAGCACAGCTTCAGAGCAGAGGTGGCATCTGAGCTCAGTCCCGGAGGACGGGTTCGGATTTCAGTAGATCAGTGAGGGGCAGGGGGCATTTCGTGTGGACAGTTGGGATGAGCAGAAGCATGACGTTGGACAACAAAGGGCAAGTTTGGGGAGGGTTGGTCGTCTAGCGCGGTGTATGTGTGGGCAGTGGGGCCAGGTGAAGCCATCTCTGGAGGCCTTGGATGCCAAGTTCGGGATCATGCCCTTCAGTGGTTATCACTGGGTAGCCTCTGGGGGATTTGCACAGGGAGCGAATGCAGTGGTGTGGGAGTGTCAGGCTGGGAGCATGAGTGGGAGTCACAGTCCCCCAGGGAGAAGCCAGAAGGGCGGAGGGCACAGCAGGAGGAATGGAGGGTCTGAGCAGGAGGTGCAAGGATGCTCCTCACCGCATTGTCCGCAGGGATGTGCGCCCATGGGACGACGCCCCCCTCCGTTAGGGTCCTCACCGACAGAAGCCTGGTGGAAGCTAAGAAATGGGGTCTCGGGGTTCACTCGTTGGAGGGATAGGGCTGGGAGCAGAGCTGCTTTTGCGCTGAGCGTGGCCAGGGGGCAGGCAGCAGCCACAGGATAAACATCGCCAGGAGGAGCCCAGGAAGCGCTGCCCAGCTCAGACAAGGCGGGAGGTCCACAGGCTCTCACTTGTATCTGTCCGGCTCTGCTGGCAGAAACGTCACTTCCAACAAAACAAAACAGGGTCCAAGGGAATTTGAATTAAGGGAAGTGAGAGTCAGGTGGGTCAGGCTCAGACAGCCTGATCATGGGAAAAGGATGGCTGGTTCGGACCCTCTGCCGAAGTGCGGTGGTTCGTCTGGAGCTGCTTGGAAATGTTCCCTCTGTTTCCATTTGGATAGTTTGGTTTTTTTAAAGGGAACTAGAAAATCATTTATGTTCCAGGCACCGAGCTAAGTATTTTATTTGTCCTTTTAAATTATACGTCTAAAGTGAGTATACATACTCTCGTTGTAAAAGAACAGTACGGATGAAGCTTGTGTCTCCCTTGACCCTCCTGCTCTGTCCTGCCTTCCTCCCTGAGGGCAGACAGTGTCATCCATTGGGGCAGGGCCGTTCACCCTCTGTCCCTCCTCCTTTGTCAGGGAATACAAGGACAATGCTTTGCTGGCTCAGCTAATCCAGGACAAGCTCGACGCGTACAAAGCCGATGACCCGACAATGGGGGAGGTAAGCCTTACTTGGCCCACGTGCTTCTCTCACCAAGCGACCACAGTGTCCGTGTGGCAGCCTGGGCACAGCTGGCTTCCTTTGCTCACAGAGTGTGTGTGAGCGCCCTTGTTCCTGCGCAGTGAGCTCCAGCCCTTGGGCAGGCAATACAGATTCTGTTCAGTGTAGCTGAGCTACCAACTTGTTTCTCTTTGCTGGGACTTTCCCAGTGTTAGCACCTACAGCCCTGCCTCCTGGGACCCCCTCAGTGGAACAGTATCAAAACCAGAAGATTGACATTGCTACAATCTCCAGACCTTATTCAGATTTCACTAGTTAGTACACGTGCTCGGGTGTGTGTGTGCACACGCACGTGCGCAGTTCCGTGCAATTTTATCACATGTGTAGATACATGTTAACCACCACTGCGATCAAGACACAGAACTATCCCATCACTATCTTGATTTAAAAACTGACAGCCCAGGGCTTCCCTGGTGGCACACTAGTTGAGAGTCCGCCTGCCGATGCAGGGAACACGGGTTCGTGCCCCGGTCCGGGAAGATCCCACATGCCGCAGAGCGGCTGGGCCTGTGAGCCATGGCCGCTGAGCGTGCGCGTCCGGAGCCTGTGCTCCGCAACGGGAGAGGCCACAACAGTGAGAGGCCCGCGTACCGCAAAAAAAAAAAAACACTGACAGCCCCAGGTTCTGGGGACCCCCTCAGGCCCAGGCCGGCTAGATGATGGGTCACCCTGTTTATAGCTGAACATAGGTGGTGCTCCCCTTCGTAAGCTCACTTTAGACCCCAGCCACAGTTTTGGATCTGCATCAAAGGGCCCTCATTATGAAATATGCACATTGGATTCTCACATGGTGTGTGCTGGTGTCCTTGTCCAGCAGTAAATGGACTTAGTGCTGTTTGAGTCAGAGTTTACATCCTGCTGCCACTTTTCACAGGAGGGTTAGCTGTGCTAGTCGGAGAAGCGGGAGTTGTATGGGGCGGCTCATGAAACCATTCCCTGTGTCCTTCCTTCAGGGCCCAGACAAGGCACGCTCCCAGCTCCTGATCCTGGACCGCGGTTTCGACCCCAGTTCCCCCGTCCTTCATGAATTGACTTTTCAGGCTATGAGTTACGACCTGCTGCCGATTGAAAATGATGTATACAAGTAAGTACACACACCCGGTGTAACTGCAGCTTTTCAAATGAACCAAACACACCTCTAATTTAAGAAAAAGGATGTCGTTAATCCTAGGAAAATCCGATGCATTGATACAGTCTTGCTAATAAGCCCACGAGCTTTTCTGTGAGTTCCCAAAGTCCAGCTGCACCACCAGCCAGAAACTCCTCTCCCTTTCAAAGAGAACAAGAACTTTCGATCTTTATTTCACAGCTCATGTCGCCTCAGTTCACAGCTGGCTTGGGTGTGTTAATATGTTGACTTGTGTGTGTCAGAGCATATCTTATTCAGAGTTGAAACTTCTTAACTACAGATCATGAAATATGATGATAATAAAGTATATCAACAGGATTTTCCTACTGAATCTTATTTGCAGTTTGCTTCATTATAAACAACATTTTTCTCGGTAGCAATCATCAGAAACTCAGTCTCTAAAAACTTATTTTTCTTTCTGTGGGAACAGGCTATATTGTTCTCATGTCCTTTATTTTATAACATTAACCGTAAAGATAGTTGTTTCAAAATGAAGGTTCTAAAAATATGACTGAATCTCAGCTTTGGTACCTGTAATTCTTGCTTTCCTTTAGATGTTCATGATTTCACATGTGAAAATTTGCTGAGGGCCAGTTGCAGGCAGCTGCAGAATGCTGTTTAGGTCCCACACATTTGAGGATGGTGTCCCAGGCCGTTTTCAACCAGGAACAAGTGTGATCCTCGCCTTTCCCTTTCAAGTACCTCTGAACCCACCTATAACCTGACTTCACACCTGAGCCAGGTGGCTCTGATGGAGCTCATATCAACTGACCCTGGGGGTTTTAAACCAGGACCTCAAGTCAGTTGACTTTGATTAGACCTTTGGGTCTCTTTCTGCCTAAGAAACCATTAGCCTTTTTAGATGCAGCAGACCTGACACAGATAGTGACACATCAGATGGTTGGGGTGCTTGCTTGATGTTCAGACAGATTCTTGTGAACATCTGTCTGTTATTTTTTGTTGTTTGTTTGGTTTTTCTCCTGCTCCTTCCACGAGGAGTTCTACTTTTTTTTTTTTTTAATTAATTAATTTATTTGTTTTTGGCTGTGTTGGGTCTTTGTTGCTGTGCACGGGCTTTCTCTAGTTGCAGCGAGCGGGGGCTACTCTTCGTTGCGGTGCGCAGGCTTCTCACTGCAGTGGCTTCTCTTGTTGCGGAGCACAGGCTCCAGGGGGTGCGGGTTTCAGTAGTTGTGGCTCGCGAGCTCAGTAGTTGTGGCATGCGGGCTCTAGAGCGCAGGCTCAGTAGTTGTGGCTCGCGAGCTTAGCTGCTCCACGGCATGTGGGATCTTCCAGGACCAGGGCTCGAACCCATGTCCCCTGCACTGGCAGGCGGATTCTTAATCCACTGCGCCACCAGGGAAGCCCCATCTGCCTGTTTTGAACCAGGGGGATTGGATGAATTTTGTGGGACGTCTCCTCTCCAGGTATGAGACGAGCGGCATTGGAGAAGCGAGGGTGAAGGAAGTGCTCCTGGACGAGGATGACGACCTCTGGATAGCGCTGCGCCACAAACACATCGCGGAGGTGTCCCAGTAAGAGCCCACCCTGTGCCCTTCCCCTAGCCTCGGCCAGCCCTGCCCCAGGCTCCAGGGCTCACCCCACCGACACGGGCAATCACAGTTGTCGGTTGCCGGTGTGCGTTCTCTGGGCAACTTGACCAGAGCTCACCAGTGCATGAATTCGTTGCTTCTGCTAAGTCGCCAACGTGCTAACCGGTGATGATGAACCCCTTCTGATATCTGAGCTCAGGCTACACCGACTTCATGAAGTTAGAAAATCCATTCTGTGTTAGGGTTGCTTTTAGGATTTTTAGAAAGCATTTGTAGCTCTCTCAGTAAGATGCTTTATAAACACTAAACACTTGAAACCAGTTTGTTCTGTTGAAGGATCCGGACTCCACTACATACAGTTCAGTTTTCGTTTATATAGCTGGTGTGTCCCCTTCCTCCCTGTTGTCATACCTAAAATTTCTGAGCAAGCCTTGATGTATTTACTGATACGTGTGCTAAACCAGTACCTTGCTCTGAAAGTGTTTCAAAATGTTTCTAACACTGGAAAGTTTTTAATGAGACCTTTAAACTGTAGATAACAAGCCTGCTTTTGCAGAAAGACACACTCTGCTACGCTGAGTTGGTGCTATCCGGCAGGAAATTCACAAGGAAGAGTGAGAAACTATTACAGCCTGGGATAGTTCTGTTGTTTAGAAAAGTAGTTTCCAAACTTTTTGGATCACTCAACTTTAGAAAAATGTTAATTCACATTGCCAGTATATAATTTATTCATGCATTAAATAGATGCTTTATTGTACTAATATGCATATTTTATAGCGTATACAAAAAACATAAATTTGAAAAGGATGAAGTAAAATTATATAAATAGATGTCCTAACATTTTCTTTTCTGCTCTCAAGTTGTCTTGCACACACCACTATGGAGACCCCTGGTTTAGAGTATTAGGAAAATGATGTATCTGTCTCTCCTCTTAGAAAATCACTTTAGATGTATGCGTTATGGGCAAGAAAAGCCGCCACATATTCCTAAAGGAGGAATCTTGCATGACTCCTATAGCATCATATAGAGACACTTGGTGCCGCGTTGAAGCTTAGCTGCCTCCTTCTGTCTTCCAGGGAAGTCACCCGTTCTCTGAAGGATTTTTCTTCCAGCAAGAGAATGAATACTGGAGAGAAGGTAAACCCGTACTCAGGCTCCCGTGCTCCAGAGAAAGCAGAAATCCCTGCTTTCTCTCTGGGGGTGGGGAAGATGCCTCCTCAGCACGGGACTAGTAAGTTGGGGGCTGAGAGGGGTCATGGTCCTCTTTTCGTCTGTACCATTTTGTCTTATTTTTGGATTCAAAATTGAGATCTGAACCCCCCGCCTTTTGATATTTATAGAGCTTCTTCTCCTTGTTACTCTGAAGATTAGTGTTTACCGTTCTGGATCATGATTCACTTTAAGCCAGAAGAACTTGCTAAAACCTTTTTTAGCTTGTGGTAGCATTAGAATTTATATCCGAATTCACCTGGGCCTCTCCTCCTCCTGCCTGTTTATCAGAGGTGTTTTACTCCTCTTAGGAGAAATGCCGCTCTGACTGTGTTGCTCCCTGGCTTAGGGTCATTAAGCGATTTCCTGATTCCAGTAGAATCAAGCCCCACCGTGGACACGCCTTACAGCGCCCAGGTCATTGGGCCCCACAGACTCTCATCTCTGCCTCCCTCCTCCTTGCCCCCATCGCCTTGCTCAAGCCATGCCTGTGCTCCTTGCCTCGGCCCTGCCTTATGAGGTCCCTTTCCTTCGGCTCAGGCATCGTTTTCTCTGAGCCAGGACTAGGGAGGTGTCTCTGCTCTGCACCCACATTCATGATTCCCTCCAAGAGTGCTAATCCACTCACTTAGCGTGGCTCCTCTGCTCAGTGTTAGCTCCATGAAGGCAGAAATCCTTTTTTTGTCCTTGTATCTCCAGCACCTAAAAGTGCCTGGTATGTAGTAGTCATTCAATACATTTCTTTTAGGTACGTGAATGGGATTAGGTGGGTCACCCAATTAGAAAGTCAGCAGAGCCCTTCCACCTGTCAGGATGCAGATTCCAGCCTTCTCTTCCCTTCTCCCTTCTTCCTACCTGTCTACACAACTACGTCCTTTCTGCGGAGACGAAATGTGAATTGATTCCATGATTGCTTGAGCTGAGTATGCAGAAAAGCAGCATGCAGACGAAAAACTGTTCTTTCCTGGCAAGAATTATGTTCTCAGTAACTTTCTAGTCCAATAAATAAAACATAATTGCTAGATTTCAGAGGTCAGTTCCCCGCCTATAACACAGTCATGGTATTTGGATCAATAATTTTTTGAGCCAGAGAGGTGGTAATCTAAACACACGTGATCTTGTGTTTAACAGATGCATTTGGGGGGGTTACAGAGTGAGCACTCGGGAGTCCGGTGCTGGCTGCTGTCCTGTCCTGCGCCCACCCCCCCTTGCCCACCCTCTTAGCTCGGGGCCATTGGAGTGAGACCGTGTGCTTCCCTCTTCCCATAGACCACCATGCGGGACCTGTCCCAGATGCTGAAGAAAATGCCCCAGTACCAGAAAGAGCTCAGCAAGGTATGACGATCCAAAACGATCCATTCGCATCGTGAGTATAAGCAGCTGCAAAAAGGCTCCTCTACCCTTGCTGATTCAGAGAAATCCACAGGTTTTTAGTCATCTTCAGTTTTTATTAGAAAACAATGAAAGGTTGGGATAGACAGGTCATTTCCCATGATTTTCTTTTCTCCTCTTCATCTTTTTCTCTCTGTATCCTTCCAATTCCTCACCCCATGGGCCTGAGAGGGAGAGCTCGGAGGAAGTCACAATGATCTGGGAGTCACACATCGCTTCCGCCTTAGAAGCGAGTCACTAAATCCACACGAAGGCGCGGGGGATTGAGCGCCACCTGCTGGAGGGAGGAGTATGAAAGGATTTGTGGGTGCCTGTGAAACCATCACCCCACCCCACCCCCATAAAGGATTTCTCCTTCCTCTTGACTCTCGTAGAAGGTGGTCTGTCCCTCTTCCCGACACACACAATTCTCTACCCAGCAGCGTCTGTGAACTGCTTGAACGCATATTTCATTACCTTTATGAGGCTGGAGACGCCTTGGTGCCTAGCACTGTGTCAGTACCTAGCAGGTGGTTAGTAGATGCTGCGCAAATCAGCGAGTGATCCCTTGACCACACGCTCTCTGCTTTGTCCTAGTATTCGACCCACCTGCACCTTGCTGAGGACTGCATGAAGCATTACCAAGGCACCGTGGACAAACTCTGCCGGGTGGAACAGGTAGGGCCTTTTCCTTCTCTTTCCGCCAGGCCCATCTATTTGCTTAACTGAATTTTAACATCTGACCTTGAACACCCTGCAGAATCATAGGAAATAGAAATGGGAAAGCCTGCTAGATCGTGTTGTCTCGACTCTCTGGAGCCAGTGCAGTTCCACGCTCAATGGTAGGGACTAGATTGGTCTGGAATGCCATGCCGTTTGGATTTTGCATGTCTGACTTACCAAGGCTCCCTGGAATGGCAGAAGAGAGAGGTACACAGCGCTGAGCCCTACATTGACAGGGCTGGCTGAAGGCTGTATCCTGAATGTCTTTCCCTTCTGCCGTAGCCACACCAGCTTGGAGACCTAGAGGCTGAAAGTGGGTAGGGCAGCCGAAGGTCAGAAATTCTCCCACAGCCTCCCTGATCACAGTTGGGATCGGAGTTCTGTCCCTGTCACTGGTTCGTTTGACGTGCTTGTTTCTCTCTGCTTTCTTTTCCTCGTCTGCAAAGGGACATAACAAAGCTGCCACATTTTCCAGGAGTGTCGTGTCGAGTCACTAATCCTGGCACCACATTCCTCACACATGATAACATTTCTCAACCGGGGTCAGCTTCTAAGGGAGGGGAGGTCATCCCACGACGCCGAAGCCTCAGCCAAAGGTCCCTCTTCACAGAAAAAAGAACTCGAGTTCTCAGTGTGAGGCCAAGATTTAAATCTCCTGGTTTGATGTGACAGGCTCAGCTAGGTTTGTAAGACCAGCCCTGATTCATGGACTCTCTCCTACGGGGAAGTAGCCCTGCTGAAATTCATCAATTTCATGGGTGATGTTTGCAAACACAAGGTGTCCTCTCCAAAAGAACTTGACTCTCCAGAAGATAGGTTATCCCTAGAGCGAACGGTGCAAATGCAGTTGGGATTCATCCTTGGAAGTTTACATTTTTCCAGAAGTGCCCAGTGGTATTCATTGAACTAGTCACATTAAATTTTTTTAAATTAATTTATTTATTATTTGTTTTAACATCGTTAATGGAGTATAACTGCTTTACACTGGTGTTAGTTTCTGCTTTATAACAAAGTGAACCAGCCATACATATACATATATCTCCATATCTCCTCCCTCCCACCCTCCCTTTCCCACCCCTCTAGGTGGTCACAGAGCACCGAGCTGATCTCCCTGTGCTATGTAGTCACATTAAATCTGACTCTGAGACAGTGTTAGAGCCAGGTCCTGCTGAGCAGATGTCTGTTGAGGCTGCGCTGAGCTGGGAAAGGACCTTGGAGAGGGGCCCCACCTTCCTCTGGCCCAGGCTGGGCAGAGGCCCGAGCTTGAGATCATGCTCCTTACGGACTCCTGGGATCTTTAGAGAAAAAAGGCAACCTTCCGGCAGCCTCTGTAAGAGCTGCAGAGAAAGTTGCAGCTGCTGGTCTCAGAACGAGACCAGATCGTTCTTGGTTTGCTGACACTGATGTGCTGCTTTCTCGGGCCTGTTGAGAATGGATCCGCCTCTTGCCTGAGTTGCGAGGGCGGGGCCATAGACCGTGCTTACTTCACTCTTTATCTTCAGTCCCACTCTTAGCACCCCCTCCCCCTTCATCTCCTTCAGTGGGATTTGCAGGGAGCCCATGTTTTTTCCTCCTCTCCCTGAAAGTGGTTGGAAGATTAAAAACAGAGGTTAAAATCCTAGAGTAGTTAAAACTCAGCGGGCACAGCCTTCCGTGCCACAGGGAGTGGAGCAGAAAGAGTCCAGCCAGGTGGAGGCACCTTATAATATTAAGCTTTTCACATGTGGGAAGTGCATCCCCTCAAGCCCCGATCCCTCTGTAGGGCTTTGTCCCTCTTGAGGACCTACCAGGATTGAGGCTTTCCCTGAGGAATTGGCACACGTACACTGGAACTCACCTGGAGGGAACAGCCTGCCTTTAAACAAGATGGCAAATCAGCGTGGTTTCTGGTTTTGGAAAGCGAAGCCTGGGGCTTTCCTCGGTTCTCACCGATGCCGTAGACACCAGTGCTGATTACCCCCGTTCTGATTAATTAATTGAGAGATAAGCACCTGCTGAAGACCTTCCCCCAACCAAACTAAACATCCCAGACGTTTATGGATAACCAGTTTTCTAATAGTTACCATTTGTCCAGACTGTTGCCAGAAATGGGGTCAACACGGTGTGTTTTCTGCAGGACCTGGCGATGGGCACGGATGCTGAAGGGGAGAAGATCAAGGACCCCATGAGAGCCATTGTCCCCATTCTGCTGGACGCGAATGTCAGCACTTACGACAAAATCCGCATCATCCTTCTCTACATCTTTTTGAAGAATGGTAGGAACGGTGGGATACAGAGGAGGGCGATAGGCCCTTTCTTGGGGAAAATGAGGCAGCTGGGAGAGAGAGAACAAAGTGGAAAACTGTAAAAGACAAGGAAAAGGGAAGGAAAGAGGTGTTTAATAAGATCTGAGGGGCTCTTTACATCTGGGGAAATGTCATGTAGGCAGATCAGTTGCAACTAGAGGCTGAGTATCCCCCAGTGATTCTGGAGTTAGTCCAAGGGACAGCGTAATTCGAAGAGGACAGGGTGGGGACAGCTGGGAGAGTCTATTGGCTTTATGGCCAGCTTATTAGAGCATTTCTGCTAGATACTTTTAACTTGCCCCACATTTGTAATCTGTGCCTTTAAATAACTGATTTTAACCCACATCTGCTGCCTATAAGTGTCCATAGGTGTCCATTGTGCCAAAGATGGACACAGAGGCTCTCCTGTCCAAGCTGACTGTGATGTGGGCCAGGGGTGGTGGTGACGGCTGAGAAGCAGGAGACGGATGGAAATGTAGACCATGAAGGGCAGCTGCTGATGGTCACAGCCTGTAGGCTAGAGTGGAATTTGAGTCCTGATCTTGTCTCGTCTTAGAGTAACCTTGATGCCATGAGCGGATTGGTTCCCACTAATCCTGAAGAGGAAAAGGGGCACTGTCCCCCCAGGCACTTAGCTCTGCTTCTCAGTGTGTGATGTCCAGGGGCTGGTGTGGCGATCGGGCTTTTGCTCTCGCAGGCATCACCGAGGAAAACCTGAACAAGCTGATCCAGCACGCCCAGATCCCCCCGGAGGACAGTGAGATCATCACCAACATGGCCCACCTCGGGGTGCCCATCGTCACGGACGTGAGCACCCGCCTCGGGGGGAGGCAGGGGGGAGACGGCAGCTCTCATCTCTTCTCCCCTGACTGACTTAAGGCAGCTTACAGTACACACACTCAACACTGAGAAAGAGAAAACATAAAATCAGAGGGATGCAGGTGTAGAGGTATAAATACAATCAAGGCGTAGCACCAGGAGCCCAGGCGGGCACATCGAGGAGGCACACGCAGTCACAACGCTGAGCTGTGTCTGTGAACCCGCCCCAAATGGGAGTCATACCAGCCCTGTCCCACGAGTCTTGAGTCAGCCTGGCTCTGCTGTAGGACATTAGACTCAGCATCTTCTGTGAGGTTGCGAACACAACGCTTAGTGCCACGCCGCCTTGCCACCTTTGGGTCTGCTTCTCTGACAATGACTCAGGACCCAGTGGGGTCAGGTGTGGGGGGCCCGACCAGCAATGAGCTCTGGAAGAGGCCTGGCGGGGGGCTCCAGGACTCTTCAGAGCCCCCCGCCAGGAACCTTGCTTGTAGGCACCCCACTTCCTGCAGGGAGTCAGCTCACGCCTCCGTGCTGGTAAAGCAGGGCTGTAGGTGTGCTCCTTGTGGGATCTTAGAGTCAAAAGCTTTGTTCCGGAGCCACCAGACCAGAGGCCTGTGACTGGGGGCGATCTGGCGTTTTTCAGGCCCTTGTTCACAAAGGGACCAAATGAGAACAGAGATGATTCATTCAGTGCCTCCCGTGCTGTTGAAGCAAAATCAAAGCCACACCAAAGCAGTATTTTCTCCTATAATTGACAACAAACTAACTCCCTGCATTTGTAAGAAATGGCACTTATCCATTTGACCCACGTTTGCCATTTTTCCTGGCTTTGAAGAACCAAGTTTGCTCCAGGTTCTTGGGCTGGAGCCCACGGGGCATCGTCCGGGCTTTTGCAGGAAAAGCTCCCTACTTCTTAGTCTTTGCCAGGACGGACTCCCAGAAGGGAGCCCAGGGGCCAGCGAGGCCTCGCAGGCCCAGGCGCTGACTCGGAGCCTCGGCTCGTGTGTTCGCTTTCAGTCCACGCTGCGTCGCAGGAGCAAACCGGAGCGGAAGGAGCGCATCAGCGAGCAGACCTACCAGCTCTCACGATGGACCCCGATCATCAAAGACATCATGGAGGTCAGCGTGGGCCGAGACGAGGGCACGAGGGCAGCTGGGCCCGGGGCTCTGCACCTGAGGCCTGGGGGCTTCAGCCTCCCCTGCCCTTGGGTGGGGGTGACACCCGGGGATTTGCACCCAGGCCTTGGAGGGTTCGTGCAGAGCAGCCCCAGGAGACCGTCAGATGTGGATCCTCAGATCCACACTGTTGAGCCCCACAGTAGAGACCCCTCAATGGTACTGCAGCCGAAGGAACCAAACCCATCACAGCACCTGAAGGTCCTGTGAGTAAGGAGTGCCACGCTAAGGATGCAGCAGGGCGGGAGGGCCTCTGGAAAGAGATCCCAGCCCGTCCTCCTCTCCCGCTGCTTCCCTCCCTCAGCCCCCACATCAGCCAGAGACCCTGCCAATCGTGTTTCTGTGCAGCGCTATCCCTTGCCTGGAGTTCTCACTCTCCTTTCCACCTCCTGAATCCTGCCTTCCTGCAAAGTCTCATACACTGGCCCACCTGTCTGACCACCCAGCACCACAGAGGCCTCCCTGGACTCCCACAGCATGTGTCAGGGATGCTCTTTACATGTGTGTGCTGCTCTCTGTGTTGGCTCATCGTTTTAGACCTTGGTCCTGTGCCCTCACCTGACGTGTCCTCTGGCACCGAGCCTTGCGCATAGTAGGTGTTTCGTATCTGTGAAAGTCAGGTAGCCCAGCGGTGTCCCTTCCTCCCCTTCTTGTAGCTCGAGGTCGAGGAAACCCTGTGTAGACTCCTGACGCACCCTGGGAGCTTTGGGGTGGGAATTGGAGATGGTCTTTCCAGTTCCTGCCCTTGACAGGAGGACAGGACTGGGGTCCAGAGAATGAAAGGTCTTGGCCAGGATCCTTTTGCTAATTCATAGCAGTCCATGTGTTCCCACTGAATCGTACGTTAAAATAAATATATTTTAAGTATATATAGTGAGTCAGCTTTCTATTTTTAAAACCCACAAACCAGAAAGATGGGTGAACATGAGACATCTTGAAACCAATTATGTTTCTTTGCTTGGCAGAGTGGATCAACCGCTCTGTCTCATTCCCTCCTTTGTTCTCTGCTCCCTTTTCCTTCCCCCCACAACCCCAGTCCCCCAAAGAGACATGTGTGGGCTTCACACGGTAGCTGTTAGGAGTGTAGACTTCTCGGCAGCAGGGGGTGGGTAGCTGGATCCACCCACCAGATAATTAGGCCCTTGGGAAACTGAGGCTGTAAGGCCTCAGCTTGCCTGAGAGACTGCCCATGCCTAGTGTCTTCAAGACGGATGGCAAGGGTCAGGAGTTTATTGGACAGGATGCGACATTTATAACCTCACATGGAACATAAAAGGGTGGAAGAGAAGCAAGAAAAAATAATGCGGGTTTTTTTTTAAGTTTATTTTATTTATTGTTTTTGTCTGCGTTGGGTCTTCATTGCTACGTTTGGGCTTTCTCTAGTTGTGGCGAGCAGGGGCTACTCTTCGTTGCGGTGCACAGGCTTCTCATTGCGGTGGCTTCTCTTGTGGAGCACGGGCTCTAGGTGTGTGGGCTTCGGTAGTTGTGGCACATGGGCTCAGTAGTTGTGGCTCGGGGCCCTAGAGCGCAGGCTCAGCAGTCGTGGCGCATGGGCTTAGCTGCTCCGTGGCATGTGGGATCTTCCCGGACCAGGGCTCGAACCCATGTCCCCTGCATTGGCAGGCGGATTCTTAACCACTGTGCCACCAGGGAAGCCCAATGCAGGTTTTTTTAAAAAACTTCTCTTCAAGAGCAGACCTACAAACTTATCTCATTGTATCTGCTGGTTATGGAGCATCTGGTCCGCCCGCTCCGAGCTCAGCGTCAGGTGCCCAGCAGTGGGCAGCGGACAGGGGAGCTCTGGTTGTTGCAAAGCTGGCCATGGTTTTGGCTGAGTGACTTGTGCTTCGAATTGTCTTACCTTGATTGCGTCAGCCCTTTGCAAAGAGATGGCCGGTCGATAGCTGTGTCTCTTCTTTCCAGGACACCATTGAAGACAGACTTGACACCAAGCACTACCCGTACATCTCCACCCGCTCCTCTGCCTCCTTCAGCACCACCGCGGTCAGGTGAGTGCAAGTCCCTGAGCAAGCGAGCAGGGAGCAAGCGGCACCGTGTCTGGTTGGACGGCAGCCGCACGGCAGTCCTGCTGTGACGCCTCACGACCCTCGAGAACCCTCCCACTGCTTCTCGTCACAGCCAGGGTGCAGGCCAAGTCCTTGCAGCGGCCCATGAGGCCCTTCAGCCCCTGGCTTCCCATTCCTCCCTCACTCCCTACTCCTCCCCCACTTCAGCCACACCAGCCTCCTTGCTCTTCCCCGAACACACCAGGCTTACTTCTGCCTCAGGACCTTTGCACTTGCTTTTCCCTCTGCCTGAAATGATCTTTCCCCAGGTATCTCTGCATGGCTCACCTCTTTTCTCCTCCAGGTCTTTAATAAATTGTTACCTTCTCCCATCTTCCCTAACCACCCTGTTTAAAATTACAGTACACCAGTCTTCCTAGCAGCATTATTCCTAATAGCTCAAAAGTGGAGATGACCTAAATGTCTGTCAGCTGATGAATGGATAAAAAACACATGGTATATTCATACAATGGAATATTGTTCAGCCAAAGATAGGAATGAAATACTGATCCATGCTGTAACATGGACGAACCTTGAAAATATTACACTAAGTGAAAGAAGCCAGTCACTAAAGCCCACACACACTATGATTCCATTTATATGAAATGTCTAGAACGGGCTAGTCTCAAGACAGAAAGTAGATTGGTGGTTGCTCAGAACTGGGGATGGGGGTAAGGGTTGGGGAATGGGGAGCGACTGCTAATAGGTACAGAATTTCTTTTTGGGGTTGATGAAAATGGTCTAAAATTGATTGTGGTGATGGCTCACCATTCTGTGACTATACTGAACACCACTGAATTACACAGTTTAAATGAGCGAATTGTATGATACATGAATTATTTCTCAATAAAGTGTTACAGAAAATAGTGAAAAAATTATAGCACCCCAACTTCCTGTCTCCCTTCCCTGCTTTTTCTCCATAGATTACACCACCGCTTAGTGTGCTGTTAGTATTTACCTTGTTTACTGCCAGTCTCCCCCGACTAGAATGTCAGCCTCCTGAGGGCAGGGATTCGTGTCTGTTTTATCCTCAGTGCCTAGAACAGAGCCTGGAATGGAGTAGGCACTTGGTGTATTCTGTCTTCACTTTTCATTCATTAGTTAATTTTAGTAATTAAGAAAGGGATGAATACGTCATCTGCATAGAGCCACATTTCTCAGATTCCTCCTTGATGGAAACATAGATGATGGAAACATGGATGCCTTGGGTCTGTTGAGTTTCTGCCACGTACCTGGTGATGCTCAGATGTTTCTCAGCTTGGAGATGTGGGCAGACAGCAATCCATGCTTCCATCTCTGGGTTCTCCAGCCCTCTGTGTTTTCTTGGCCACCCATGAGGCCTTGTGCATATGTTTTCGAAAGCTCTTGCTCTTGTTCACCACCTTGCCATGTTCATCCAGAAGCTTTTCCTGTTATGCTCTGCAGGCCACATCTCCACAGCCAGTCCCTGGGACTCTCAACACTAGGCACACATTTTGCCTCCAGAATCTCTTCTCTGCCTCCCTCGTGTGTGTGGCCCAGGCTCCCAGGGTAACACTTTTCAATACATGTGCCTCTACTATACTAGTACTTTGCCCGCCCGTCTTCTCTCTCCACCGCCCCCCCTTCTGTCGTCACTCTCAGGCCTGCATGACGCCAGTGGAGGCCAAATGTTTATTGCCAGCATTGGCGTGAAATACAAAATCCCACACAGTACCACAGCCAGGCTGGTTGACAACGGCAGACAAACATGATTGCACAGGCAAAAAGAAGTGACTGTGAGGTCCTCTGGGCTGGCCTTTGTGATGTGGAAAGTGGCTTTAATGCTGTCCTAAGTCAGGAAGAAGGGTAAAGATTCCACTGTTCAGAGAAGACTTGCTCTCCTCGTTCTGTTTCAAATTTATCCGAATTTAATTGATAATTTAGATGACATGGACACATGCATTTTATAAATTGCAAAAATTGACAATTAAAAAATAGAAACTCAGTGACCCCTATTAACTTTTTAGTTACTTTTAAAACTTCCACAAAAGAGATTCCCAACCAAATGGATGCAATGGTGAATTCTTCTGGTATTTTATGAAGAAACCACTCAACATGAACACATTTGCAGATAACAGAAAGAGAGAAGAAACTTTCCCACTTATTTTATGGTACATGATCCTAAAAGCAAATCTGAAAATGGCATTAAATAAAACTTCCCTCAAGCACAGAGAGGCAAATGTTATAGATAAAATATTAGCAAACTAAACCCAGTGGCATATACAAGGAGCAATGCATCTTGCTGAAGGGTTTGAGGAAATGCAAGGCTGATTTAACACTTTAAAATCCTCAACGTAATCCTCCACACAAGAAAAAATATATATGATCTTCTTAAGAGATGGCCCCTCATTTTGTTTTGATTTTTGTTTTGTTTTCCCCATTTTCTTAGCCTGGAAGCAACCAATTTCTCATTGTTTCCAAGGACAAGGTGAAGGCCCATTGAGGGAAGCCGGGGCCAGGAGTGGGGGGGCACCTGGGGAACTGTCCTGCCCCTGAGATGCCTGTCGTTCAGGAGTCAGCTCCGTGTCACCTCCTCCAGGAAGGCTTCCCCAGTGATGCCCAGTCGGCACTTGAAGTCCCTCCCCCGTGTTTGTTCCCACGGCACTGAGCTCCTCTCCTTGGGGCGCGATGCAGACCCCCATCCTCCTGCCACCCTCCTCGCCCCACCCGCCCCAGTTAAGCCTGAGCTCTTGGTTGGCAAGAGCCGCATGTCACTCAGGTCAGCTCCTCGGTGCTGGGGCGGCCCCAGCCCAGTGAGGCGCCTGGTGCACGTCTGTCCAGTGAATCAATGTGCCGGCTGCAGACAGGCCCTGGACTCTGTGGTCCCTGCTCCCTCCAGCAGAGTGTCCCAGACAAGCCCAGAACTGTACAACTCGGGGGAGACACCGGCACCAACATCATGCGGGTGAAGCTGCTGAACGTCCCGCTTTAAAGCCGATCTGAACCCGTCTGTTGCCTGCATGACGGGGTCACAGCACAGGCGCTCATAGCGATTCTTCTCCCGGCAGCCAAAGTGCTTGATAATTTGCACTGCAGTTCAGTTCAGCCAACACTCGCTAAGCATCTACTCTATTTCGGTCACTGGTGTACAGAATAATTGTGTAACACGTCACGGAGGTATGAAGTATAAATGCTGTGGATGCAGATAAACATGGTTAATATCTTTCTCTCTCCCTCTCCCTCCCCCTCTCTCCTGCCCCAGCGCCCGCTATGGGCACTGGCATAAGAATAAGGCCCCAGGGGAGTACCGCAGTGGTCCTCGCCTCATCATCTTCATCCTGGGGGGCGTGAGCCTGAATGAGATGCGCTGTGCTTACGAGGTGACCCAAGCCAACGGAAAGTGGGAAGTGCTCATAGGTGAGTGGGGCGTGTTTTCTAGAGGGAAGGGACCGCTTCATTGCACTTGGACTCCATTCCATGCTTTGGTGTTTCATTCTGTCTTCGGTTCTCTGTTGCCCCTGAAAAACTTAAGTCTCTAGACATGTTTGTGGACGGCAGACGCTGACGAGCGAAGGGTTCCTTCCTCATGTCTGCACTGTGTCTCTTGATGAGTGGCAGCCCCACGTGGTGGGAAGAGCCTGGTCACAGATTCCAAGAGACCCAGGCTGATATTCCTGCTCTGCCACTGCCACGTGGGTCACCTCGAAAGTGCCTCTCCTCTCCACGCTGTTATTTCCTTACCCACGAAAACGGGGTTAAGAGCACCCACTTACAGCCTGAGCTAGGCCTGGTGCTGGCCCGGGGCTGGGGGGTGGGGGGTAGGGTGGTGTCAGTTTCCTGGCCTCCAGCCTCACGTCCAGAAGACGCTCAGTGAACGGACGGTAAATGATTACCGGCTCCTTTACCTGTCAGTTGGAGACGCACAGACGAGGAGTGAGAGCAGATACTGCCTGAAACATACTGGCCTGACTCCTGCGCTCTGCTGAGGGTTCCCCCAGCCAGTTCCTGCTACTTCAGGGTCTGTCATACCCCTTCTGGTTATTTCCTGCTGGCTTTCCAGAAGAAAGGAAGCAACTTATAAGAGCTGACTTAAGGCAGCAGGAGAAGATTTTTCTCCTTTTTCATGACTACAGGAGCTTCTCCAATTTCTCGGCTGGAAGAGGAAGAGTGAGCTGAGAAAAATCTTGCTTTCTCCAGATGCCTTCCTTTTGTCCCATCTTGCCCTTAACAAAATGGAGTTGCACCTGCCCAGAGTACCTCTTAACATTGATTGGCAAGAGGTGATCAGCACCTACTGCCCTGGCTGGGCCCCGCCCTTGCCCCGATCTCAATAAGATGTGTCAGTTTTATACCTCCACTTTGGGGGGACCAAGGCGCAGTGCCCCCCAAGCTCTCAGAGTGAGCAGGTTCTGCAGACCAGTCCATGTGGCCGTTCCTGGGTGTATCAAGATGGAGCTGGCACTGTCTTCACAACCTGCGTTCCAGATACCACCATTCATTGGGGAGCTCGCACCTCCCCCTCCCCTCCCCACTCCCTGAAGCCTCCCCTGTCTGGTCACCGTTTCCCTCTGTGTTCTTTCCTTTCTGGCTACGTGGGACCCTGTGCCAGAGCTCTCGGTGTTCCCTGCTTGCGTACGTGTTGCATGAGCGTGTTGGCTAACTCTCTGCTGAAACACAGCTTTCCTGGGCAGAAGCCGTCACAGCCAGGCTTCGCTGTAACCCCCTCTTCCACGCTGGCCCGACCCGAGGTTCCCTGTTGGGAGGTGGAGACCCGGGGAGACAGGGTCGCCCCTGCGGATCGGTGGAGAGGCCTGGTGCAGACCGCTGACGCCCGCTGTGTGGCCCCGCCCGCTCTGTGCATGCCGGGCGTCCTCGTGGCCCATGTGCGCATGCGCCGCGTGTGCACGGCGTGTGCTCCGCGCGTGCGCGTGCGTCTCGCTCTCTCGCACCTCATTGGCTGCATAAAACGTAGGCCTAAGTTGGCATGTTCCGGTAACGTACCTTTGTTCAAGCAGTCAGCCGGCCTCTGTTCTCCCGCAGGTTCTACTCATATTCTCACTCCCACCAAATTTCTCATGGACCTGAGACACCCCGACTTCCGGGAGTCCTCTAGGGTATCTTTTGAGGATCAGGCTCCAACAATGGAGTGAGAGCCAAAGAAACAAAGTAAAAGCAGCTTATTACAGAAAAGAAACTCTTCCACTCCGAAGGGTTTTCTTTGATTTATTCCGTCACTCTTTATTTTTCCCTTTTCCGTTTATTATTTATTTGATTTCTTTTAACGAGAAAATGCTTGCAGTTCTTAACACCGATTGAAAATGTGTCCGATGCTGCCCTCACCAACCCTACCCTGAGCCCCACTGGGCTCCAGCTCGCTCATGCCTTGGGTTACCTGTCGCCCAGTCAGACAGCTGCAGCCCTCTGGGCTTTAGACCAGTGACAATCACAACTGCTGTGCACAGTCCTCCAGAGGGAGCTGGACGTGGAGGGATGCCACAGGCGCTGTGCCCCAGCCTGCTGGTCCCGGGGTGAATTTGTGGGCACAAGGCAGAGAACACCAGGCAGCCTCCAGGTTGTGATGTGGTGTGGGAACTTGAGAGTGAGACCAACAGGTGTTCAGGGGACAGTCCTGTCCAAGGCAGAACTCCAGTGGAGATGCCAGTTGGCACACGATCATGAGGAAAGCTTGGCAGAGGGCGTTAGGGTAGACTCCCAGTCAGTGGTAGTTAGATATGTCAATACCTTTTTCCCAGGACAGACATTTATCCTGAGGAACAATTTCTAAGGGGTGATGGGGTCATAAGCCACCTTGTACATGGCGAACGCCAGCCACCGGTGGAAAGAGCTCATGTCTCCTGTTCCTCTGGGAAAAACAGCACTTAACAGTCATTTGCTCTTTCAGTAATTGCTTTTTATTTTAATTCTCCTGTGGATCCTTTCAAGAGTTGAGAATCATACCCCTCTCTCTCATTGGAGTTTCCTGGTCAGATTGAGAGCCTTTGGGTAGAAATCTGTTCTCCACGCTATGTGCTGTTTATATTTTTTAATTTTTTATTTTTATTTTTTTTGCGGTATGCGGACCTCTCACTGTTGTGGCCTCTCCCGTTGCGGAGCACAGGCTCCGGACGCGCAGGCTCAGCGGCCATGGGTCACGGGCCCAGCCGCTCCGCGGCATGTGGGATCTTCCCGGACCGGGGCACGGACCTGTGTCCCCTGCATCGGCAGGTGGACTCTCAACCACTGCGCCACCAGGGAAGCCCTATGTACTGTTTTTAAAGAGCGTCTTCTCTCCCACCATGCTTGTGCCTTTATCTCAGTTACCCGGGAACCCCTTGTCAGTGTGGCAGATTACCCAGGTTTTATTCTTGTGCTCATTCCTTCCTCTCTCTTTCCACCCTTCTTTTGTGCTGGAAATCTCCCCTGACCTGTTCAGATGGCAGACTGACCCTGAAGACCTCACTGCACCATTAGTCATTCTTTAGTTTCATTACACATTCTGTGATGAGGCCACGTCTTGCGTACCTGACTTCGTCTACTCTGTTGAGGATGCACCCTAGAAATGTCCCCACCCCCACCCCGGGCTGAAACGTGGCCCTGTGAGTTACAGAGTGTGAGTCACCTGTCAGTGAGCAGCGGACAGGCATGGACTCTAGCCTCAGCTTGGCCACAAGCACCTGTGTGACTGGGGGAGGCCGTTCCCACTGGGTCACAGCACACAGAACACAGGGCGGCTGGATGGCAGGGCCCGAGGCTGCTCGGGCTCTGTAATGCAGTCGTTCCGTTGGTGGCTCAAACCAGGCAGCCCTACGCACCCTGGCACACTCTCTGGCGACCCTTGGGGGAATGCACATCAGAACCCTGGCTGGGTAACATCAGAAGTGTGCTTGTTTTTTTGAAGAGAATAAGCTCCATCCACGAAGGGCTCTAAAGGTCTGCACCGGAGGCCTGGGCCGGAGGTAGCTGCCCCAGGGCAGTAGGGAGATGAGAAGCAGCAAGTGGTCGTGAGCCAGGACGGCGGGGCTGGCTGTGGCCCCGGGCTACCTGCCATCCTGCCCAGGCTGCCTTCACCCTAGAAAGCGAGGCCACTGGGTGGTCAATAAAAGTGACTTAAAAAACAGCCGTTGTTCAGCAGCACCTTGGTAGGTTCGTAATCAGAGGCATCTGGTTCCTGTGCAGATGGCAGGTAGGTGGACGGCGTTTGCTGCAAGATGTATTTCGAGGCTTCTCAAAGGACAAATGAGCAATGACAGACCACTTGCAGAGTCAGAAAGAATCACAGACCCAGACCCCAGGGGCTCCTGCTAGGATTCATTCTGGGACTCCCTGCTTTGGAAGATGCCTCTTCTTTGCACACTGCTTCCTCTGTTTTATGTTCAACCAACAGAGAGGCCTCCGCTGCCATCAGAGCAGAGCGAGCACGAACAGACTCTGGCTGTTTGCTCCTGGCTTCTGAAATGCTTTGTTGAACAGTGTTGGATTTTAGAGAGTTCAGTTAAGAAAAAGTGAGGCACAAAGCCCTCATACCAGGGAGGTCAGAAAGCAGGTGAGCCTTCCGACTTGCCCACTTCTGTTGCGATTGTCCAGGTGACCAAAGCTGAGGACGCTGCAGGGCGTTAGCGAGGCTGGGTGGTCTCCTCCCCCACATTGGTGTTTGCAGGAACTTAGCTTTTAAGGGATGGGTTTCCCCTGCTCAGCAGTGAACGAGCGTCTGCGGTGGGCCCTGTGTGGGTACCAGTGCTGTGTTCCATCCTCCTGGCCCCGCTCTCTCCTCCCGGCCCCTCTCTGTCCTGGAGCCGAGGCTGGCTCCCCAGGGCTGGGCTGAAGGGAGTGGGCATGGATAACTGAAGTGCACAGATGCCACCAAGCCTTGGCTCAGTGCCCACTAATCAATCCATCATTTCTCTCAACTGTCTAAGAAATGAAATCTCTTTTATTATTTTTTTTTTTGCGGTACGCGGGCCTCTCACTGTTGTGGCCTCTCCCGTTGTGGAGCACAGGCTCCGGACACGCAGGCTTAGCGGCCATGGCTCATGGGCCCAGCCACTCCGCATCATGTGGGATCTTCCCGGACCGGGGCGCGAACCCGCGTCCCCTGCATCGGCAGGCGGACTCTCAACCACTGCGCCACCAGGGAATCCCTGAAATGAAATCTTTTGATTAGATCTTCACCTCGGTGCTCTAGGTGGTTTATGTTAAAAGTACTGACCATTAGGGAATGTCCAGGAGGCCTCAGGAGCTGATGAAAGGCTGGCTTAGACCTATTACAGAGCACTTAACACGGGAGAGTTTTTTTTTTTATTATTATGTTGCGTACTTTGCTTTATTCTAGATCGGGGTCAGATAAGTTTCATTTTTCAGTGGGACTCAGATTTGAATCTGAACGCAGAGCTGATCCAATGCCCAGCTGCTTTTTCAGCGTTCCCTTACACATCCCCTCCTGGGGCAGGAAGCCACAGGGCCCCCAGAATTGAGAGCAGTGGCCTGGCTTCTGGGCCTGGCTGTGCCGCGGACACGCCTCACCACGCTGGGCGTCTTGGATGTGGGTGGGCAAGACCACTGTCTTCCACGTCTGGCAGATCATCAAACTCACCTGGGCTGCTCTTAAATAGCCAATTTAAACCTGTCGTTCACCGGTACTGCCCTCAGTAGTCTGAGTCAGCAGGACTGTTTCAGCCAAAGCCAGAACAGCTCGACCAGCTGATCTGTGGGAACTCCTGTGGTTTTCAGGCAGCGTCCGTGAGGAAGGAAGGACTTTGTCCTGGCAGAGGTCAGTGTGTCTGGCCCCCAGCTTTGACAGTCTGGATGACTTTGTTTTGGAGACCACCGTTCACGGTTCAGTGTTGCAGTTAAGTAGAATAAGAGGGACCCTCAGAGCAGTAGAACCCACTTGCTGTTCTAGAGGGCCTACATGGTCAGCCACACGTGGGTTCAAGTGAGAACATTTGCAATGTTTGTGGTGGTGAAAAGCTTGACCAGGGTATTGAAGCGATACAGCTGATTGCGTGGCAAGAATTGGCCCTCAGGTGATTCGGATTAACACCAGCTGGTCTGCATCCTTTCAAGAGACCAGGTATTGATAGTTAGGGCCCAGGACCGTGACTGTTGCCTGATACTGTTGGTCCTGGAAGTCTTCTGCTTTCGGTCAAAGATTGGGAACACCAGATGGTCAGCAATCAGATAATATCCGGAAGTTCTGAAGCGTGGATTCCTTCACCTCCTTCTGGCCTCCCTCCAAGTCCTGAATCTGCACATAAGCAAGGGTAGGGGACACCTTGGCGGCAAGGGAGGACGTTAGGGACCGTTTCTCTGGCACATGCCTTGCCTTAACCTAGGTAGCCCCCAAGCTAATCCCCCGCACGGAGTTCCCAGCAGCTGTCTTTCAGGTATAGACACTCAAACTGCTGCATCGAGTTGAGATTTGGAAGGCTTTCATTGTGCCAGTGGTTCTGGTCAGAATTTGGTAACGTTTATCCCTGTTTCCTCATTTGTGGAGCAGCCTGTGACCTTTAGGACTAGTAGAAAGATTGATAAGGTCACAGAAATGAGTGTCTTCGGGGGAGAGGGGGACACACTGCTGAAACCGGTGTCACATTTGCCAAAGGAGCCTCGAGTCTGCAGAATGAGTCAGCTTTGGGCGCAGGGGCTGGCGCAGGCTGCACTCTCAGGGCATCCCACTCCGCACCTCGGGGAAGTAGCTGGGGACTGGTTCCTCACTCAGCAGGCCCTGGTGGGGGCTGGGGCTTGAGCTGCAGAGAACAGGATGTTGAGAAGCCTCTCACACCAGAGAGGGCTTCACCAGTGTTCTCCTGGTCTGGACTGACCAGGAAGGCTCCAGGCTGCAGTGCCAGCAGTCACAGGTCAGCTGAGCAAGTAGCGGTCAAAGGCATAGGGACCCTGGTATTTGGAATCACTCCCAGCAAGCCAGCCAGAGCCTTCTTTTGCCTGCCCTCAGGGTGGAAAATCTGGCATCCCATGGTTTCTGGTCCCCTCCTCATGTGAAGGCCCACTCACTTGGCCGCATCTCCAGGGAGGCACATTTTCAAGTACGGGTCTCTTTTGTTCAGTTCTTCTCTCTTCTCTCTTCTCTCGGGATCTCTTTCTTTGAAGCCTACTGCTGCATGCATGCAGGCCTCATGCTCACGCGCCAGTCACTCCTGTTCTGTTTAAGTCCATGTCCAAACCACACGATCCATGCATCTTTTTTTACTGCACTTACGAGATCTCTCTCTCTCTCCTTATGAAAAAGGACTTCATTTTTTTTTTGTTTTCTTTTTTCTTTTTGCAGTAGAAGTATATCTATTTCCATTAGCTTAAATTTTTGCAAGCATTTCTAACCTCTTACAATGCGCGGTCTCTGCAAGGTAAGGCCTCAGGTACCCCGGCCCTTCCCCCTTCACACCTGAGGTCCCTCCCACCACGCAGTCCCAGCCAGCGGGCTCCCGGAAGGCAGTGGCTTCCCCCAGGGCTCTGCCCGTCCACTTCTTCCTCCCTACCTGCACCACTCTTACCACACACAGTCCCCCCTGCTGACCCCTGCCCCATTCCCAGCCTCTTCCCCGGCTGTGTGGTTTGGAACTTCTCTCCCTGGCTTCACCTTGAGTTCAGGAGAGAATTAGAAGTGCAGCTGCCCTGTCCCCTGGCAGACGGCAGCGCTGAGCACTGATGGAGAGGCGGGCTTCTTCCTTGGTACAGCCCGGAACCCTGCCCAAGCCAGAGGGTGTGTTCTGTTTATCCACAGCCCTCACATGCCTCCCAGGCCTACTGTGACAAGGCCCCAAACCCCAGTCCCCAACCCCTCCCTGCATCTGGGTGGGGGAGGGGGCACGGCTACAGCTCTGGGGATAGAACAGGGCAGGAAAGGGGAAAGTGTTCGAAACCGGAGCTGGCAAGCTCACGGTCTTTTCTGCCTTCCTCCAGGATCCACGCACATTCTCACCCCACAGAAACTGCTGGACACGCTGAAGAAACTGAATAAAACAGACGAAGAAATAAGCAGTTAAAAAATAAGCCACGCCTCCAAACAACGAACCCTCTCCCCAGAGTGCTCGCAGCCCTGACCACCGCTGACCGCCTCGGTTCCTTTGCTGACCCCCTTCTCCCTCCATCGCCTGCCCCAGCTCTGCACGCCCGGCCGGCACTGTCGCCAGCTGCGTTCTCGTGTTTGGTGATGCCCTCTTCTCGTTTGAAACAAAATAATGCATTGTGTTTTTTTTAAAAAAAGAGTACCTTCTAGATGTATCCTGGAGATGTTCGGTGTGAGGGACGCGCTGCTGGAGGGTTTCTGAACTGCTTAGGATGATGAATGGACACCTGCTCCCCATTGGCCATGATTTTATGACCTTGTACATAAGCCAGCGTGACGTGTGCACATTGCTTGCGTATGGGAAGGTAGATGTTTGGGTGTTTTTAAAAACCCGTTTGGGATTGTTCCTGTTCTTGTTGGGAATCACTGAGATGTCCGTTTTTGGAGTATTTTAAACTGAGGATTAATCTGTTACCTTCACTCCAGTTCCTACCCCTCAGTGCCAGCTCTCATCCAGATAAGCTTGGAAGTGAAGCTCAGGTGACATCTCGAGAGGTTTGAGCTGGAGTCGACCTCTGCTCTCCCCAGGGGGCTCATTCCCCCCCTCCCCCGTGCTGGAGGTAGGGGCTGGGGGCGTCCACGGGAAGTCAGGCTGGGTGCCTGTCGTGGCTCCCTCCCTGGCCGCTGCCGCAGCGCTGTGATCCTGTTCTGTGGTCTGTCACTGTCCCCAGATGAGTGAGGAGCAAGCTCCCATCGGGGACCTGGGTCCCTTGGAGAAGCAGTCAGACCTGGTCCTTCAGACCAGACGCCATCTTTCCCCAGGCATCACCCCCGACAGAGCTGCTCTCAGCAGGGTCAGCCTGGGTAGAGCGAACCAGAGCAGAGTGAGTTCCGCAGGCTCCTGGTCAGAGGTCCCTTTCCTGTAGAGCACTGTCTGTGCCCCTGACACTTCAAACCACCTGAAGAGTAGCCCAGTGGATTTATCCAGACCCTGACCCCACTCAGGTTATCCTCCGTTTAAGATACTTGCTAATACTTTATTTTGTGTAGTGTGGGGTCATATGTCGTCGTGCTTGTAAGAGAAAACGATCATTTTATTCTCTGTATAAAAACGTAGCTGTATAAGGCTTAGCTCTGATGCAGACATTAAAGAAGCAAATGCAGGAAGGACGTCTCGTCGCCCTCAGGACTCAGCAGCTCGTTCTCCGGAAGGGAGCGCACTATTTGTTCTGCTGCTGTTGTGAACTATAATGAACAGTGGAAGTCACAAAAATGTCCCGCGCCCACCCCCACCCACCCCCTTAGCCCCTGCAAACCGTGTGTGTATATTACTGTCTTGTGGCATCGTCATTGCAAACGTGCTGTGTGCTAGTTCTCCGCGGCCCTCGCTTCCCTTTCAGAATATACTCCTCACCCGCCCCGTTAGATGCATCGTGGCATTCTCTTCTCAAGGCTTTGAAATCTCCCCTTTGCACTCAGATTAGTTTTCAGGTCTGTCTCCCTTCCCCCCCTTACAAGATCTCATTTCCTTAGGACAGACTGTAGGGACCTGCCTTGGTTTGTTTCTTCTTGTTACTGCTTGTTTTGTCCCCTGCCCTTGACCAAACGATCGATGCTCATGCTTCAGGACCTTGTTTGTCCGACATGTCGGTTTTCCTTTCTCTGTTATTTATATAAAAATAATTTATCAAAAGGATATTTAAAAAAAAAAAGCTAGTCTGTCTTGAAACTTGTTCACCTTGAAATTATCAGAATCTCAGTGTTTGAAAGTATTGAAGCACAAACATGTATCATCTCTGTACTGTTCTGTACTAAAGCACTCGAGTCTAATAAATAAATCAGCGCCCATTCACGGTGTCCAGGGTGACTCGCGGCCTGGTTTTACTTTGGGGAGCGGAAGGAGAAAGGCTTTGTCAGTGGTCCACTGGGGAGGAGCCCAGCCACCCCTGGCTGTGGCTCGGAGCCTTCCGGATCCATTCACTGTTACTTGCATTAGGATCTAGAGCTACCTGGAGTCTGGAGACGATCCATGAAGTGTGTTCTACACTGCCTGAGACCAGGCAGTTCTTCCAGCATCCTGTGTCTCTGTATATAGAATGTCTCTGTCTTGGCAGGTGGCGCCCCACTCGAGCATGTGGTACCAGTGCATTTCGGGCACGTGATGAGGTCATTTTATCTGCGTTACTGCTGTCCTCCTCCATTCCTGCCGCCACACCATCTAGCCTTCGGATGAACTTATTTCCAGATCTGAAAAGTGTATCCTGCCGGTCATGAAGCCTGTTGGTGACCTGGAGAGACTGTGATGAGTTTGGTCCCAGTGGGGAGGGGACCCTTAAGTTAGGGTTGGAGTCATACTGGAAACCTGCTAGAATACTGGGCGCAGGGGTGTGGGGTTCTTTGTAGGAACTTCCGTTTCTACCCTTTTGTCCCCAGTCACCCTCTCATTCAAATTCTGATCTCCCTCATACTGTTAAGAAATCCAAGTCAGGGCCAGCTGGCGGAAGGTGCATCTCCACAGCCAGGCTATTGTCTGGTGAGACTTGCCGTAAGGGAGGTAATGATGACATTTATTGAGTCCCTGCTCCTTGTCAGGCCCCCTTGTATACCTTATCTTTTGGGTGGGTGCTCTCCCCATTTTACAGATGAAGGAGCTGAATGGAATTCCCTGGCGGTCCAGTGGTTAGGGCTCCACACTTCCACTGCAGGGGGCATGGGTTTGATCCCTGGTCGGGGAACTAAGATCCCGCGTGTCACAAAGCTCACTCCAGCAGGAAAGCATCAGACTCTCATTTTCTTAAATTAGTAGTTGCCTCACTGGTACCCAGAATGCCTTGGAGTGAGATCCAAGATCAGAATTCTTCAATTCTAAATTGTTCTAAACTGAGTTTACATGAAAGCAAAGCCAGTGCTGTCTGCTCCTTCTCCCCGGGGCCGTGTGTCCGCGCCAGGCCCACGGTAGTGGCTTGTTAGTCTCTCTAACTGTTCCTGACATCGTTTGACCCGGGGTCTCTGGCGCCTCTTTCCATTCCACCCCCTCACCACCACCACCCAGTGGCAAACAAGCATGGCCCTTTTTATGCTCCTGGAAGAAGTCCTGGTTTTCCTGTAACCCAGCACAAACGGAGTCTGCAGACCATTCCTCCAAAAAGTCTCCAGTAGTGTTAAATATTCTTGCATGGGCTGGGTATTCTGCAACAAACCAAGGCATAGAGTGTTGAATCCGTAACTGGGCGATCCTAAACCAGGAGAGTCTGTGAGCTGCAGCCAGTCCCTCTGCCTTTCTGGAGTTTCAGGTCTAGCCTGTGGGTCTCAGCCAGACCCTGCTGAGGGGCCTGTACACCCACTCGGTGACACCAGGCATTCGTTCCTGGGAGGCAGAATGGTGGAGTGACTAGGAGCACAGACCTTGGCATCAGGGTCACATCCACCTGGGCCTCGTTCCACAAGACCTTGATGAGGGACTTGGTCCCCTCCTGTGAGTGATGCCCATGGAGGAACGGTGCTGAGCTGGTCCTACAGTGAGTACGGTAAGCACTCAGTCAGTGTTGATGGTGTGATTATGATTCTCAGCCAAGTCTGGGGAAAAAGAGTAAACACACACACTGGAAAAAAAAACAATCAAATGTTCATCAACTAGAGGATGGATACACTGTTGTGTATTCAATCAGTGACTACTCTTAAGGCAGTTCAAAATGCATGACCTACATATATCAACATGAATAAACCCCAAAAACTTAATGTCGAGTGAACAAGTTACAGAATACGTACAGAATGTGTAAGGTTTTTAAACCTCATAAAAAGTACTGTAGAATACTTATGGATACCTATGATGTAACTGTGTAAAAACGTGCATGAGAATGACAAATATACCCAAGTCAGGATAGTGGCTACCCATGAGGAGAGGATGGTGTTGGAGAGGATGGATGTGTTGCCTTATAGCCCCAATCACACAATGAATCAGTGGCTTAAAAGTGCTTCATGGAATCAAAATCATATAGATAATAATTCTCATTGTAGTTAATGTATATTGAGCACTTATTATGTGCCAGACATGAGTGTTTTATACGTATCTTGCTGAAGTTTCTCAACAACTCTAGGAGTTAGATGTCATTATTAACCCAACTAACACGTGGGGAAACAAAGGCACAAAGACAGAGGAACTTGGCCAAGGTTCCCCTGTTGGTACATGGCAGAGCCTAGATTTAAACAGGGTTGTCTGGGGACTTCCCTGGTGGTCCAGTGGGTAAGTCTCTGTGCTCCCCAGTGCAGGGGGCCTGGGTTCAATCCCTGGCCGGGGAAGTAGATCCCACATGCGTGCCGCAATGAAGATCTCACATGCCGCAACTAAGAGCCAGTGTAGCCAAAATAAATAAATAAATGTTAAATGTTAAATGTTGGTAGTTGCTGAAAGTTCTAACCCTCTAATAAACTCAGGTATGTGGAAAGGGGCTTGTTATGAATAGCAAAAGACACTCCTTTCACTCAGGAAATTTCAAGGGTTTTAGGAGCCCTGTGCCAGAAATCCAGGGCAAAAAGTAAATATGTATATATACTTTATTATTACATATTATCATATTATTATATGTAATACTATATATCACAGCTGATAATGAAGTACGTCATTGCTCAAATACCACGACTCATTCTTGCAGAGATTTTGTAGATTTTCATAAATGTTTCTGCATCTACTGTATGCCCTTAGAACAATTTCCAGACACTTTATTATTTTTTAAATTTTTTATTGGAGTGTAGTTTATTTACAATGTGTTAGTTTCAGGTGTATAGCAAAGTGAATCAGCTATTCATATATGTATGCCCATTCTTTTTTAGATTCTTTTCCCATATAGGTTATTACAGAATATTGAGTAGAGTTCCCTGTGCTATACAGTAAGTCCCTATTCTTTATCTGTTTTATATATCGTAGTGTGTATATGTTAATCCCAATCTCCTAATTTATCCCTCCCCCCCTTTGCCTTTGGTAACCATAAGTTTGTTTTCTACATCTGGGACTCCTTCTGTTTTGTAAATAAGTTTATTTTTACCTCCAGACACTTTAAATGCTTGTTTCTTTCTTAAAAAATAATCTTCACCAATTAAATTGTGGTTTTGCAGGGGGGAGGGTCCATCGAGCTCCTTTACTGTGCCATTCCAAACTCCCACCCAGGCTGCAGGCTGTCTTACTCAGTTAATAGATATTTACTGAGCGTCTACTATGTGCCAGCCTTCACCCTAGGCTCTGGGGATGTAGCCACGAATGAGACTGGGTCCTCGTGAGCTTACACTAGTGGTGGGTGGTATTATATCACACACACACACATACACACACACACACACACACACCCTGAATGAATGAATCGCTCATGTTGTGTGCTCCATAGAGGTGGGCAAGGCTTCAGGCAGTCTCCCTCGGGGCTGGGCTTCCTCTCTGCAGAACCTCCTAGAGGCGGCAGAGCCCCCAGTCCACGGGCCACTGCCCTGGGCTGACGCTGCAGTCTGCTGTGCGCCGTACCCACTCCTATCAGAAGACCTGGCTGCCGGAGCGGCTGCCGGACTTTGCCGTCTGGCAGCTCCAGCAGTTCCGGGCCACCAACACCAGTTCCCAAGCAGGACACAGAAGCAGTCATGAGAAAGTGTCCCAGGGGAAGATGACGAGTCTGGGGTCCCAGAATAGGGAGCTTTGGGAAGGCTCTCCAAACAAGCCCCAGAAAGGGATATCCTTGGACCTGGAGCATCTCCTTCCCCACCCCACCATCTGGAAGGCTGGCCTGGAAGCCCTACTGGTCACTCTTGCCATGTGAGTGCAGTGCATTTATAAGCCTGGCCCCGGCGACCCCCAGGGGCGACTCTGGTGCTAACAGAGGAGGGGGTACAGGTCCCAAAGCTGACGCCTTCTGTGGGCTCCAGGCAGCCTGAGGGGGCTGCTGGTCATGCTGTCCCACTGGGCTGGGGACCCAGAGCTAACTCCTGAGATGTGCTTCGGGTAAAAGAAGGAAGAAACCTGAGAGGCGTGACGAGGAAGGGCACTGGGGTGGCACCATGGAGAAGCTTTGCCTGGGCTGGGCTCCTCTGGGGCCCCCCATGCCCTGCTCAGGTGGGGGAAGGGCGGTGTCCAGCCGGAGTTGGGGGCATTGCTTTGGGCTAGAGGGGCAGCCCCCCTGCTGGCCCCAGGTCTCGGGCGCTGGGCCAGGTCAGTCTCTCTGGGGCTTCGGTGTCACCCCGTCTGCAGTCCCAGGACTCGCTGCACTGTTGTGAGTCTGTGCAAAGGCTGAAGCCCGTGCACAAGTGTGGCGGCCCTCCCAGGGCTGCCCCAGCCTGCAGGGAACAGATATTCTGGGAAAGACAGACCACCACAGGCTGGGGGTACTGGGATGTTGGAAATCCCAGAGGCTGCTCACACACAGAGCAGGCTGGAGCTTCACCCACCTGCTCCGCTGATGGCAACAGCAGCTGCCGCTTACTAAGCGCCTACTGCATCCCTGGGCCAGATCCCTGCACCATGTACTTCACATACAAGGTCACTTTCAGTCCACAACGTGGTCTCCCTATTTTACAGCTCAGTGAGCTCAGGCCACTGGCCCAAGATGTAAGATGTCTCTTACATGGGATGTGAGAAACAGTACCCGAACCGGAGCCTGCTTTAACCAGCCACCGCTGCAGCCTGCCTCACTGCCAAACACCCACCTCCGCGTCTTCCTGCACCCATCCCAAGGATCCCACTGTTTACAAGATCTGGCTGCTCAAACCAACCCCAGTTGCTGAAGTAACACTGAGCTGCCCCTCGTCCAGCCGTCCGACTGTTAGGGAGGGGCAGCAGCCATCTCTTGCTAAGTGCTGAGCCTTTGCCGAGC